ACACCACCGTTAGCACACATAGCACTTCAGTTCTGTCCTTCAAACTAAAGGTTCTTCTATAAAGAAAGGCTTGTTAGTTGAAGCTGTGTTGAGCCTGGCAGCTTTTTGTAGGGGTTTACTTTTGTACAATGCATCACCTGCAGCTAATAACAAAACTAGCTAAACAAGCTAAAATTCTTTATTAAAGACTTGAGTTAGGATATATTTAGTATATATTTGGTGGAGTGAAGTTGATGTTAGCGTGGCATTCGCTGTCGTTTCCAAACTGCCTGGTTTTAATTAGCTACAACACAGTTCAGCTCGATAGCGTAGTATGTTAAACTGGAAACTCAGTGTTATGTACACAATCTAAGCTCTAATCTAAATTTATTAGACTGAATGGGATTTTTCCATAGTTCTATAAATCTTGTCCAACCTCACAACAGTTGCTAAGAAAGAAGACATTTGTGGGTGGAGTATGGGTAAGTATATTGAAAAGTAACAGTGAAATTCAAACATTAAGAAAACAAAGAAAGGCAGTGTATTTTCCATGTCTAAGAATGGCAAAGCTAAGAAGAGAAGGACAAATGATACAGCTGAATGGGACTGGTGTAATCTTCAGTTACACTTTGTGTCACATTAAGACATACCAAGTAGTTTCTGGTTTGTGCCAGGCGCATGGCTGCATGTCTTCCCGCCCCGTTTATGCCCCTACATGGCAGCGGAGTGATTGGCATCCTCATGCCCCGTGTTCCAGCATCAATGAGCTTTTGTAGCTGTTGGCACCCTCGTCTCCTGACCCGCCCTCGCCAGTCTATTCACAGGGTCACATGATGCCACCCACTTGGCCCTGGAACAATGCACGCCTGTCATGGCCAGCTCATTGCCATGCACTGACACACGCGGACGTGTCTCCACCAAGTGTGCCCTCTGTTTTCGCCCGCCGAGAGGGTTACAATGCACTTCCTGAGACGGTTAAACTCGAGCACTTCAGCATTTCCCACTGGGTTTGTAATCAGATTTGGTTTTCTTTGCCTGTCATAGCTTTTGCTTAGCACACTTGGAGTGCAATGTTTGATTACAGCAAAAGCCCTAGTGTTAAGTTAATAATGTTCACGGTGTTCTTCATTAAACACAAGAGGTGTTAAAGGACACTCTGATCTTTCTAAATGTTTGCATATTCAATCATTAAATTGTAAACAAGGTTATTCAGAGTGGTTTGATGTATAATGCTAGTGAAACTTGCAGAGTCAGAATTGTTCACAGTGGCAGTGATGGGAAGCAGATGTCTGAAGAGTTTAATACTTCTAAAAGCTACATCAGAGAACGTTACTACACAAAATGATCACAAATGTGTCGTCTGAGGTATGAGACATTGTTTTGCAATAGTTCTAAGATGGTTGTGGTCTGAAAAAAAGCTGAAGTACCAAATGTATTTTTCAGATTTACCATTATTTAAATTGTATACAAAATGCATAAAAACTCATTTACACTTTTAGGTTCACTGGTTGTTTAGGGTAGTAATTAAAGCAGCTATATTGGTGACCCCTAGTTCTTATCATCACCACTGTAGAGAAATCCGAGTTGGTACGTTTCTCATTTAACAGTTGGTAAATTTGGTAAAGTTATTAAATTTCTCATTCATGTCAACCATTTCACAGCAAACCACCCTGAATGAGTTTCTTTATATCTCATTGATTAAATTGTGCAGAAATCTTGAGAAGTTGGTGGAGTTCCCTTTTAAGGCAACACTGCCAATGTTTGTTCAGTGCTGTAGGTTTTCATTCAACACAGTAGGTGTTAATGCAACACTTCACATGTTAATTCAACACTACAGATGTTGATGTGACACTTCCGTTAAACACGGATGTTATTGCACCTGAACTGCAATGCCAATGATGTTCCACCCTTAAAGTCCCATTTAGTCTAGGCTTGAGTTTAATCTGGGTCTGGGAAACTACCCTTGGGTGTAGGGTAGTTTCCCAGACCCAATTTTGCCATAATTTGCTGGCATTTTGGGGGATTTTGTACGCATATTAGCATACCAGCTTTACATTTATAGACATTCTGACAGAAAACCAAACACAATATTTAAACAAAGAGCTCTTTCATAAAGTTGCAAAGCGTCTCATATCTGCACATAGAAGTACGTTATATGTCCAATAATTTTTTAGACACCCCATCTAATTAGTGAATTCAGCTACCCAATGCTAACTCAGGCTTTCAATTAATCGCATAGAGCTGGTACAATCTCCATAGAAAATCATTGCCAAAAGAATGGGATGTTGGGGAGCAGCTGCGCCTGAGCCTAAGGGCAACATGCCCTAAGCCAAGCATAGACTATAAAGCCCCCCAGCATTGAGCTGCGGAGCGGTGGGATGATGAGTGATCCAGAACTGTTCATCCAACATCATTCCCTTACCTCACTAATGATCTGGTGGCTGAATGCAATCAAATCCTCCCAGTATTCTTCTGACATCTATATACACTCTTGAAAAAGATGACTCTTCAAGGGTTCTTTAGTTAAGACAGTGGTTCTATATAGAACCAGGAACCATGGTTGCAAGAAAGAACCATTTGGACCAAAAGGGTTCTGCTGTTGTTACAATGTCAGGCTTGTAACAGTAGAAGAACCCTTCCTGGTGCTATATAGAACCCTTTTCAAAAAGCTTCTATATTGAACAATGTAAAACACATTCTCCATCAATCTGACGAACCATTTCACCATGCAAAGAACCACTGTCTTTACTAAAGAACCCTTGAAGAGCCATCTTTTTTAGGAGTGACAGAGGTGGGGTGCAGATACAGCAGAGGCATTCAGATGCTTGGTGTGTAGCTGCAAACTACGCACACGCCCCCTTACACCATCACACCCCACCCCATCCTACCCCCCTGGAGGGGAGGGAGGGCCGTGCTCGTGAGCTACGTGCACACTTGTTCTCGTCATCCACCAGAATCCAAACGGTCTCGTATTATGAAGCTCGGCGGCTGAGCTCCCTGCGCTCTCCCTCTTTCTCTACACACAGACTGAAGCCAAATCGGACAGTCACGCTCCGTGTCGTCTGCTGAAGTCGCCTACTGGCTCCGCGATGCCTTTGCTCTCTCGTGGTGGTCGTTGAACGGTTATTATACATAGAAACACGCTGGTTGTTGCTGAAACGAGCACTGAAGCAAACGGCGACTCGCCCACTTCCACCTTTAACTCGCAGAGAATCGTCCATCTCTTCGCGCCTGCTTTTAAACAGCCGCGTCTCGTTAAGGTTGACTGAGGAGGGGAACAGAAAGCAACACAGCTCGGTAAGTCTTCCTTTCATCACCCTTCTACAACAAGCTCAGTGTTATTACATTATCATAAGCATGTAACCTAACGTTACTTACGTTTATTCACCAGCCTCTTGTTCGAATTTTCCCGTTCCACCTTAAATGGTGCAGCAGTTACATTCCAAGTTACATTCTGAGTGTGACTGCTTCACCATTTAAGGTGGAACGGGGAAATTCGAACAAGGTGAATAAGAAGCTGATGTCAGTCTCTTCATTCGCGTTGTTTTCATTATATTTTACCATCGTGAGTTGCTTTTCTTAACGTCCTCCAGCTGCCTAACGTTAGGTTTTCTGTAAGTTAGCTAGCTGACTAGCCGCCAGTGCTAGCGGTAACGTTAACGTCCAGAAAAACCGTTTTCCAGGGCGCTCGAGGGAGCTCGAATATTGGGAATACTTTGGGCATAACTGTTCATTTTGTTTGTTTCGGACTGTAGAAACGGATAAGATGGCTTAAAATCGCCATTTACTGGAACTGACCAGCACATTTGGCAAATCTGCATCGCCAGAGAAGCACTGTTAGCCGTCTTGGCTCAGTCGCTTATGTGAAGACGGTTAACGTTAGCTTGCGCTAGCTAATGATGACACGTTTATTAGATTCTACGAGTATATTATTATTATTATTATTACTATTGCTACTACTATTAGTATTAAACTCGTCTGTTCACGGCTACTATCCAGCATTTTTCACTCGTACCCTTTGCCTCAGCTGTAGATATTCATTCATGAGGCGTATGTTAGCTCAATCACCCCGCCCTCCTCTTTAAACCCCTCTTTTTATTTTTGACAGAAGCGTTTTGAGCTCGAACTGAACAGGAACACCGCGTTATTTCCACACACACTGGACTGTGGCCGAGCTCCTAACTAGCTGGGCAGCAGCACTGACCATGTAAACAGAGGTTTAACCCTTTCACGTCACGACCTGAGTTAGAGCGTGAAGATGTAGAGGCTGGACTGTCTAGGTCGGTTTGATGAAATCATGAAATCTGAAGTGTGGATTTTTCTCGACTTGGGCAGTCCCACACAGCAGCGAACCAGATATACAGACAGCAGCTTGAACATGACATAAAATTTCCACACAGCGTAGAGCAGGGATGGCAGACTCCAGTCCTAGAGAGCCAGTGTCCAGCACAGTTTGCTGATTATCTTACTTAAACGCATCTGATTCAACTGAGCAGCTGATTGCCAGGATTCGTAGGTGAGTTAGACCAGGAAAATCACCAAACTGTGCTGGAAACCAGCACTCTAGGACTGGAGTCAGCCACCCCTTGCATCGACCTTTGATGCCACCATTTCAGTCCAGCAAAGCACGATTCATCCCATTAATCTGTGGCCCTTTGATGCTCACTCAGTGCCACCAGTTGAATCCATTGAGGCATCATTCATTCACGTCTGCAGTTGCAGTAAAGAGTTAATTCATTTCAGGTTTCATTATTGCTTCATTCACACCAGAGCTTGGCATCCTGCCTTAATTGTTTGCAGTCCCTGGCCAATATTTCAGCCTCGGTCATGTGGGTGTTTGTTAGTCCCCTGACTGAACAGCATGTACAGTTGTACTCTCCTGCATCTGAGCGCCCATTAAGAACTAATCAGAGGCTTGTTATTGCGCACACAGTGTTCGCCGTCCTGGCTGCACGGTGACTGAAAGTAGGAAAAGAGCAGCCACCTGCGGCGAAGGGGTTCCAAAGTGTTTTCCTCAAGGGGCCGCACTCAGAAACTATGAGCCTCGCAGCACACTGTCAAAAGCAATTTGCCAACAAGCATGCGACCCCTTAGCCCTACCACCTAATGCCTTCTTTGGTGGATACTGTTGTTTAGATAGAATCAAACTAAGCAGTATAATTTATTAAGAAATATTATAGCAACAGTAGATGTCCAAGTACAGCATTATCTTGAGGTAGTTCTTACACAACAGAAAATACAGTCATTGCACATCTGTAGGTGTTAAACTTATGTGACCAAGCTAAAAAACTAATTCAGTGAAAAAGTGAGCAGAAAAAGATGTCTGAATAGTCTGAATAGCTCTGAGAGGCATTTGGAGGCAAGTCATCATGAGCTGGATTTGCAGGCATCCCCGCGGGCTTTATGGGGAGGGGATTATGTAATGTTTAGGCAGCCCAGATGTGAATCAGTCCTCATGCATTACTCTCCTCTCAGAGAGGATAAACTCGCCTTTAAGACATGGGAGGAAAGCCGGGCCTCTCTGTATCAGCAGTGGGGAAAACTCCTCTGGATAGCATTGTGCCACAGCAAACTTGTTCAAGGTGAAGCACTACAGTGAGTTCATTAATTTCTGTCGTCTCTTGTTTTTGTCATCTGCCTTTTATTTAATGCAGCATTTTCAATGCTGGAAGACTGAGCCAGCCCTGAAAAATGTCACTAAACTGCTAACTTTCTTTTAAGAACGAAAAGAACCCATTGTTTTGGAATAGTGTTTCTCCTCTGAGCTACATACTTGTGTTTATGTTGTGAGGCTGTTGCACTTATTGTGCACACCCACAGAGAGCTCTGGTTATTGTGACCTTGTTCTTGGGTAATGCTTTGGAAAGGCGCAGTTCCATCTGAGTCATAGTGCAAGCTTCACATGGCTAATCTGTGCACAAATAGATTCCAGACCAGATGTGTCAATAACATCAGGACAGTTTAGCTCTAGGTTCCCTTTACAATAACCATTTGAACTCTTGGCTCATTATTTAGTCATATTTAGACTATCTTTAGTATGTACTATTCAGTCATATTTAGACTATCTTTAGTATGTACTTTAGTAACTGCCATAAAACTAACATGTAAGTAATATCATCATGAGCGTGAGGAACTGACGTATGGGCCCACACACAGGCCTTTAGGATTTATAGAGTTAAAAACAATAAATACTTTAGCCCTTTACTGGTCCCTTCTCAGATAAGGCAGAATTTTTAGTAGTGTCACAAGGTGGCTGTTTATCTAACTGTATTTATATCAGTTTAACATGTTTAAGAAGAGACCTGTCAAAATGTGCTTTGAGAAACGAGCTAAAGTGAGCAGATATTTGTAGATGCGTTTGTTTTTCTAATATTACAAAATCAGTGAGTTCAGAACAGGCTGCTGCGACACAATTTCCACTTATGGACAGTTCATGTGTAATTTCCATACATTCTTAACAAGGAATAATATTGTTATCATACTGTTACTTAAAAATGTAATACTGTGGACTCTTTTGATGCTTTTGGAAAACACCTACCTTCATCTCTAAAGCCCAGTTCTTCATCTATGTTCTGAAATGTTGACAGCTTAAGGTAGCAGCCTTATGAAGGCCATAATATCCAGTTAGCTTAATAAGATAACGCAATGACAGACGTTGTTGCTTCTTATCAAATTATTGACCCTGGTTGCTTATTAAAGGAAATAGACTGTTTGATGACGTGTGGGGAAAACAACTCATGCTTAGATCGATAACAAAGCCTGACGCTTCTGTTTACAAGCTGAAATATGATCTGTGGGCTCTGTTAGCATAATAGTTCACTTTGTACACTGCTGGATAAACCATAGCACATTAAGCGCTGTTGGTTTTGCCTTGTGCTGCTGTGAATGGAGCTTGTAGTTTCCTTTTTCTTTGAAAGAAAAGCATGTTGATTAACTTCTGGCCACCCTTTGCCATTGCATGTGTCAAGGATACATTTATTTTCGGCGACCTTGTTTCATGAGGTCACGAGCTATATTTTGATCTGCTCAGAAACATGAGAAGGCTGTCCAGTTTATAAAAGGAGGGCCATGTTTATTTGTTGTTGAACTTTTGGTAGCATTTTATTTCATGACATTATACAGTGTGGCTGATTAAAGCGTAAGTTTAATGAATTATAATTCTGTACGACCTAGCGAGAGCTGCACTCTATGTGTTTCAAAACGGGGAGTTTGAAAAATTAGGAATTTACTAATCATCGCTGTATTACTCTACTGTCATAATCAAAGTAAGGCTCAAAGTAAACAAAGGAAAGCTTTCGAAGTTCATCAGAGGAAGTTACAGTGAGGAATTTGTGCAGCCTGAGTGCACTGACTAATCTCTGTCCTTGGGTATTCTCTTCTGACAAATAACATGTATTCACGCACCCTGACAAACTGTAGGTGTTGCAGAATGGGAAGCAGCAGTGATTCTTTTTGATTTTTAATAACAGTTATTGAAAATTACAATTAACCTTTCGTTTTGTCAGGTAGCAGCATTCGCTCATGTTTAGGCTAGATGACATTGACTTATGATCTGGATAAAAGTGCTTTGTAAAGCCCAACATTGAGCTACTCCAGCAGCGGGGCCTGTAAAAATGCAAAAGTCTTCTGCACAAATGGATATCTAGGGCCACGTGAGGTTTTACAGGGATTGTCTTGTGATAGTTAAAAAAGTTTAAAAAGTTTCTGTATGAATAGAGTTAAAAAAAAGTGGAAACCAAAGCTGTGAGAAGCAGAGCGTCTATAATCGTGACTTGTTTATGAGTGTAGGTGGTCTGAGAAAGGGTTAAGAGAATTCCATGTGTGGAATCTAGGCTGAGAAGAGAGACCATGGGGGGAGAAGGGGGGTCAGAGTCAAGACAGCTGCTTGTGCCACTTACATGACTTGTTTGTGTCATCTTATGTTACGGTTGGCATCCAAAGACAAGCCTCTGGGAAGAAGTTATCCTTTGCTGATGTAAGGCTGCTCCCTCTCACCCAAACCCTAACAGCAGCAAAAACTACTTATTAGTTAAAAAGACAGATTAGTTAAAAAGACAGCTTTCACCAACACCAAAATAGGGTGAAAAAAGGTAGGACAGGAGGATCGAAAGAGGATGAGAGGATAATGGTTTGATCATGCATTACAAAAGATGAGGGAAAATGAACTGTGCATATATATATATATATATATATATATATCCTCTCCTACATTCATCTCATATCCTACTTTTCTTTTTGTTTATTTTTCTTCAGTGTCCATTTATGGCATTTATGTGGGTTCGTGTATCAAAAACAGTTATAAATTATGTTACATGACCATTTCCAGCCTGTCTTTATCTCTTAATAAATAGTTTTTTATTACTGTATCTTTAAGACTGATGTATGTAAATGTCCTTTGTGTGTATATTGATTGGCTTCCCTGTACTGTACATTTGAAACACTCTTTATAACTTTAACAGGAACGAGCTGACTAAACAGTAGGCTTAATATCTGTGAATTAGATTGGTTTTCATGACATCACAAAAACAGTGAATCTTATGGTCCACATATATAAGGACTGGTCAGTACACAGTGCATTTTAAAACCTTAACAGTGTTTACATGCTTTATTTAAAATAAATGGGGAAAATGCTGTTTTCCATGATGAGTCCCTTATAGGCACTAGCATACACTTTAAAAATACTCATTGCTAGTGTTTGTGTAGTGCAAGATGTTTTTTGCACCACCACAGCTTCATATATTGCTCTGTCAGCCTCCGCCTCAAAGTCCCTCCATCCATCCGTCTGAAGGCTGCTCCCTCCTGGCCAGCTCAGCTCCTGGTTAAAGTGGATTAATTAGCTGCCAGAGCAACACCATTGCCCTGGATTAAAAGCTCCATTAATCCCGCTGCCCGCACACTGAGCCATTCAGAGCCTCGACTGTGCTGGAGCTTCTGCTTAGCATTTTGTGCATGACGGGAGTAGTGATGTTGTTGCATGCTAACATTATTTGCTCTGTGCTGGACGGAGATCAGTTTTAAGATGTGACTTATAGAGATTGAGGTGTGGATTTTTAAGATATCCATTTAAAAGGGTGATCTCTACCTGATTTATAAAAAGTTAAGATTTTAGATTGAGTTTATTAACTAACATTACGTGAATAGTACCGTCAGTTATTTTCAAAGTATTTCTTGGACTGTGCAAGTATGCAAATGTCCCTCTGTTAGTTCAGTAAATTATGTTTGTTTTTTCACACTACAACACTTGTATGAGCCTGATATGCTGTACCTCTGCCCAAATATTTGCCCAGCCTGTTTGTCACTGACAAACCACAGAGCATTTAATTTTTAATGGATTCACTTCTAAACGCAAAGTATTCTGAGAGTCAGGGTTGTTACCAGGTCTGGTAAGGTCTAAAGTGGATGAATACACATGAGACTTGTTCCAGGTTTCTTTGGTAGACACGCTTGCTTCAGTACCTCATCGCGTTTTAGTCTGAACTGTTGGAAATTCAAGTAATCTAGTACAAACAACACTGCTTACATGACAAATCAGTTACAGAGAATTAAGTAATATAAACATCTGAATTCGGATGGTGACATGTAGCGACACGTTTTTTCATTACATGACAAACAATGTGGGAGTAGTTTCACTTTGATGGTCGACATTGACGTTGACTTGGACAAGAAGGGAAAAGTTTCGATTACAATGATATTAAAAGCATCCTCAGAGTGTATTGCTACAGATGTTGACACAGCATCTGGCCCCTTGACGAATTCCCCTGCCTCTGCCTCATCTTAGAGGTATACTGTGACCTACTTCCTCTGCAACTTGGCACAAGTGCACAGGAAAACAGCCTACGTCTTCAGATATTTCTGAACCTGGGGGTTTCAGAACCTTCTGATTAGTTTTCTGCGAAAGATAGGCTTACGCAGGGGATCATATGTGTCACATTATTTAATTGCAGAAGCAGACACTAAACCAAGCAGACTTTTTTTGAATAACAAGCACAAAACGTGTGAATTCTTCTAATGTTTCTCTGCTCAGTAGGTTTGTGATAGTAAATGATTTCTAGCCCACATGATTTACAGATTAGTGATCATCACTGCCAATTCTGCTACAGTTCTCAAAAATAATCCTATATTAACGTCCAAGATGCCAGTTGAATAAAAGCCATTCAAATAGCCTCATGTGTGGTTTCCATTAATTATAGCAGACACATGGGTATTTTCACTGTCATTGTGGCAGCAGCCTAATAGATGAATGAGTCTCAGGGACCCCCAATTTGGTGTCGACCTTTTGGCATATTAGGTTTCACATGTGCAGGCGGCATGGTTGGGGCTGGGGCTGCCAGTGGAAATTTCCACTTCAGAATGAGGGAGCTGCCTTTGTTCTGCAACAGGGGCTCGCAACAAGTCCGTGGAAGTTGGCTCGGGCTGCTATTGCGAAATAGTGCAAACAGTCAGCTTTTCTAGCACAAAAGAGAGAGAGAAAGAGAGGGTGAGAGTGAGAAAAAGCAAAAGAACAAAAAAATTAAATGGTGACGAATTTATAACTGGAATACAAAACTTTTAACCTTTTTGGTTCTTGGAAGTGGGAACACACACTCATGTTTTGT